CAGACCTCCACCCATCACAGGCGGAAGGCAGAGAGGCAGAGGCCGGGTGGAGGGCAGGGTCCACTCCGTGAGGAAGTGGCCAAAGTTAGACTCAGAAAGCGAGTGTGGGATCAGGCCAGTGAGAACCCCGTGACCAGCAAACAAACAACCGCCTCCAGGAAGTATCGTCAACAGCCATGGTGATGTGACCCAGTGCTGAGTGACCCAGGCAGGATATAAAGGCCTCGTGGGCACAGAGGTCTCCATACCCACACACCCCACTCTCCGCCTGCTCCTCTACCCGTTCCACTCTCAATCCACCAGAACCATGGGCTGCTGTGGCTGTTCTGGAGGCTGTGGCTCCGGCTGTGGGGGCTGTGGCTCCGGCTGTGGGGGCTGTGGCTCCGGCTGTTGTGTGCCCGTCTGCTGCTGCAAGCCCGTGTGCTGCTGTGTGCCTGTCTGCTCCTGCTCCGGCAGTGGCAAAGGGGGCTGTGGCTCTTGTGGGGGCTCCAAGGGGGGCTGTGGCTCTTGTGGAGGCTGCCAGTCCAGATGCTGCCAGCCCGTGTGCTGCTGTGTGCCAGCCTGTTCCTGCTCCGGCGGTGGCAAAGGGGGCTGTGGCAGCTCTGGGGGCTGCAAGGGGGGCTGTGGCTCCTGTCAGTCCAGCTGCTGCCAGTCCAGCTGCTGCCAGCCCGTGTGCTGCTGTGTGCCTGTCTGTTCCTGCAAAGGGGGCTGTGGCTCCTGTGGGGGCTGCCAGTTCAGCTGTTGCACACCCAGCTGCTCTCAGTCCTGCTGCTGCCAGTCCAGCAAAGGGGGCTGTGGCTGTTCTGGGGGCTGCAAGGCGGGCTGTGGCTCTTGTGGGGGCTGCCAGTCCAGCTGCTGCCAGCCCGTGTGCTGCTGTGTGCCGGCCTGTTCCTGTTCCAGCGGTGGCTCCAGTGGGGGCTGCGATGGCGGCTGTGGCTGCTGCCAGCCCAGCTGCTGCAAACCCTGCTGCTGTGTCCCTGTTTGCTGCCAGTGAACGGTCTGAGGTTCTGAACGGGGGCCTCGCTGAGTCCTGCCGATCCAGGCTTCCCAAACTGTGACCCATCCTTCATGCCCTCCCCCGCCACACCCGAGGGCCCGTTTCCCCACATGGAATGAGGCCATACTGGGCTGCCTGCTCCCAGGCGAGGCCTCACCGATGTCCACTGCCTCCGAACCATGCTCTCCCCATCTGCTGTGTCGGACTTGCCCCTCAAGCCCTACCACAGTCTTGCCGGGGCCCTCGGGGTGAGCTCCTGACCCTGTGCAGTCCTGCCTTTTCGGGCCAGGAGAGTCGAGCATGGGCGATCCACTTCGGGCCTGGAGGGAGGAGGGAGGTCCTGGGAGCGGCTTTGCGAGTCCAGGCCTCTGCTGGTCTTAATTGAATGTTGCAGCCAATAAAACATCGAAACCACAAACTGACTCCCACGTCTCGCTGATTTCTGTTGTTCTCCACTGTGTCTGCTGTTCTGTTCTTGCTATGTTCATCCTGAAGGGACTGGGGTGATGTGGTGGAAGGTGTTGGGACGGAGCAGTGGATGGGATTAGTGGGAGTTTAAATGTTCCTTTAAAAAATGCATGAACCTGAAGGCAGCATTAGAAACTCTCCACAATAATTCACAGAGAGAAAAGACAATAAAATTTCTGAAAGTAGAATCAATGATCTGCAGATAGTGCAGTCTGTCTATTAGACTGGTACTGGGATTCAGCAGAGTAAAAAAAGAGAAATAAAAAATTAGAGACATGGCCCCAAATGCTCTAATACTCTTGATAATGGTAAATACACAGTGAAAATAAATTCAATGAAATGTAAGCGTGAAAGCACAGTCTAATTAAATTTCTCAAAAGTAGCTGTCAGGAGAAAATCACAAAGGCAGCTGGAGGAAGAATAAGCCCAAAGAGGTGCGGAAGAAGCATAAGGCACCCACAGATGTCCTGGAACAGCCACACAGAAAACAGGCAGTCCGCATCTTTAAACACTAAAGGAAAAAAAAAGCACTGTCCACCTCGAATGTTCTACCCAGCAACAATCTCTTTCAAAATACAAGTGACCAGGACTTTACAGACACACAATAGTTGAATCCAGCACCATCCAATTCAAATTTCCCGAAATGACAATAGAGGAAATTTGGAGTTACACAAAACGACAAAGTGCATTGAAATTTTAATTATGGGGATTGATATGTAAGAACTTTTCTTACGATTCAAATGTGTTAGAAATAGAATGACCTGTTTAAACAAACCAATGACGATGTAGTGATGGGTTATAATATGTGATCATAAAATGTATGTCAAAAATGGGATAAAGGCGTAGAAAGGATGGATGGAAGTAGATTATTGTAAATGGACTCAACTCTGTGTGGAGTGATACAACAATACTTGTAAGCAGACCCAGCTCAATTAAAGACATATCCCTTAAAAGTTTCAACCGTATATTTTGTTTCTTTTGAATTCAACGGAGGCTTCTGCTTCTGCCAAGAGGGAAAGATAGGGGCCAGTTTCACATTAAAAAAATCAATCAATGGAATCCACCATGTCAATAATTCAAGAGAAAACGCCTATGTTCATCTCAATATATGCATCCACTCTTGACAAAATCTCTCAGAATACCAGGGATAGAAAACCATTTCCTCCAGTTGATAAAAATCCTCTTGGAGAAGACTTCAGCCAAGATCATCCCTCGTTGTGTAAGACCAAATGTTTTCACATAAGATCAGCAACAAGAAAAGGATATCGGCTCTCACTACTCCTGTTCAATGCTGCACTGAAGGGCCTGGCCAGCCTAGTAAGAAACAGAGCTAAGAGTCGTGATAAGTAGCAATTCTTTAAAGATCTAGAAATTGACCTTGCAAACACTCCAGCAATCCTCCTTCTGTGAATGTGCTGGAGGAACTTAAACCACTCTTCCAAAAAGACACCTGCACACGCATGTTTTTTGTAGCTCTATTCACAATAACAAAAACATAGAACCAACTTTGCTGCCCACTGATACAGGGCTGGGTTTTAAAATGTGGTATATATACTTGAAGGAATATTATGCAGCCACAAATAAGGACAATATTATGGACTCTGCAGCAACTTGGATCTATTTAGAGTCTATAATACTCAGTGATCTCTCACTGCAACAAAGAACGGAGTACCACGTGTTCTCACTCATAAGCAGACCCTGAACATTTACTATAATCTACAAGAAAGGGATTGGCAGTAGCCAGAAACTGCCAGGGGTGGGAGGGAGGGGACACATAACATTAATAAGGGCACCTGATCTCAAACCAGGTGAAGTGGGGAACCAAAGGGAGACCAAACTTTACCTGTACGATGACCACGTGTATACCTAATACTGAATTGTACCCCACATCTTTCAAATAAAAATAAATATAAGCAAAAGAGAGAGGGAAAAAACAGAAATTCAACAGGTATGCAGATTGGAAAGGAAAAAGTAAAACTATCCTTTAGCGACATAATATTATCTGTAGAAGATTCCAAGGTGTCTATTAAAAGCATCTAGAAAAAATAATTCAGCAAGGTTAGCGAATACAAACACAACATACAAGAATAAATTGTATTTTTATTTTTGGGGTCAGAATCTCACTCTGTTGGCCAGGTTGGAGGGCAGTGGCACGCTCATGGCCACTGGAGGTCGACATTCTTTCTGGGCTTAGGCAATCCTTGTCTCAGCCTTCCTAGTAGCTCAGGTTTGCACCACCATACCCATCTAATTGTTTTTTGATTTGTTGTACAGACGAGGTCTCACTAAGTTGCCCAGGCAAGTCTCGAACTCATGAGCTCAGGCAATCCTCTCACTTCTGCCTCTCAAAGTGCTGGGATTACAGGCGTGAATCACCATACCCATCTGCTATTTCTACATACTAAGAACGAACTCTAGAAAATAAAATTTTAAAGAACATAAAGTGATTGGAAAAAATGTTAACAGAATATGGGCATGACATGTATATTAAGATCTCCAATACATTGGTGAGAGAAACTTTAAACTCCAGAGTAAATGGAGAGATATATTGTATTCCTGAAGCGGAGCGACGAGGGTTGCTACGATGTCATTTTTCCTTACATGGACTTATGGATGCAGCAAGATGCTATCAACTCATAAATGGATGCTTTTGTTGAGATTGACAAGTGGTTCTAAAATTTGCTGAGAAAAGTAAAGGAATTGAAAAAACTAAAACACTCCTAAAAGAGAAAAATGCAGTTGTCGGCCTCTCCCTACCTGACTTCCAAACTTCCTGAAATGTTTCAGTGACTGGATGTTGTCTTGGCATTAGGAAGAGGCGTGTGGATCTGTGGAACAGAATATAGAGACAGACTCAACAGATATTTCAATGGATTTCCTTTCAGGATTTTAGTGGGATAAGGAAGGCAGCTTCATCAAATACGGCTAACACCACTGGATAAATGCATGGAAAACCAATCTCAACTTCCACCTCACTCTGCACACAAAAATTAGTTGGAGATCCATCATAGAAGTCGTCATAGAGACCAGAACTCTAATATTCTAACACCCAGGGGACTTCTCAGAGTGGTCAAAAAAGAGCACTAACCATTAGGATGAGAAAGTTAACATAAATTTAAAAGTCAAATACTTTTTCCTATCAAAGAAGTTAAGATCATAATGAGGCAAAGCAGGAGACACAAAAATCTGACAGATAGATAAGGACATACTTGATAGATATAAAAAGATATAGATCAAGATAGAGAAGATATAAAGATAGACGATAATACAGATACGGATGTGTATGGCAAAGCACTTTATGCAGCCTGAATTTATGAAGACCTCCAACACATCAACAACAAAGACAGGAACAAAATGGGCAAAGCATTTCACAAAACTTTTAATAAGAGAGATATATCCGTGGGCAATAAGCACATGAAAAGAACCTCACAGGCATTAGTCATTTCGAAAAGCAAGTCAAAATCAGCAGGAGATGGGATTGCCCACCCCGCTGCTCACGTTTCAAAGCCAACGCAGCCATGTTACCAAAGGCCACTGACACTCCCAGACGTCACTGGGGAGGGTCGACTGGAGAAAACCACTTTGGAAATTGTCAGTTTCTTACGATGTTAAACATACACTGGCCTGCCGTCTAGCGAGTCCGAGTCCTAGATACTTAACAAAAGAAACGAAAACATGTCCGCAAAAGGGCCTTATGCGAATGACGGCCTCCCCACTTATACCGAGGCTGGGTCTGCACTGTCTCCCGTGTCCCCGAACCGCGGTCTGGCTGACTTAGCGGATCTGCGTTTCATCCGCACGCTGAGCAGCTCAAGCCTTTCTCTCCTGCCCACGATTCGAGTTCCTGCCACCGCTATGCTGCCCCTGCCCCCGAGCCCGGTCCCCCGCTCTGTAGTGACTCTTGTGTTCCGCCATCTCCCCAGGCCTCCGGGGTCCCTTCATGAACTGATTCTAGACTCCACCGTGTCGTCTGTGGGCCCTATTGGAGTTAGGATGGCGCATTTCAGGTTTGCGGTGTGACTCAGCCACTCGGGAAAGCTACTTTTGCTTCCCGATGCCGTCCGTGTCGCTGGAATAACGTGTCTTCTTCCCTGGTTTCCTGGCTTCCTCCCTCCCACCTGCCTTCCTCCCTCCCCCTTCCCTCCTTCTTCCCACCTTCCTTCTTGCCTATTTCTCCTTTCTCCATTTCGTTTCTACTTTCTTTCTTTCCTCCTTACTGCTTTCCTCTCTTTCTTCTTCCTTCCGCTCCTTCCCTCCTTCCCTCTTCTCTCTCTGCGTCCTCCCTTTTACTCTCATTTCTGCCTTCCTTGTTTCTTCTTTCCGTCCTTCCTTTCCTACTGTTGTTCTTCTGTTCCTTCCTTCCTTCCTTCCTCCATTTCTTTCTCCTCACTTATTTTGCCCCTTCCTTCTGCCTTCTACCCTTCCTTCTTTTTTCTCCTTTTCTCCCTTATTTCTCTTCTTCCTTCCTCTTTCCCTCTTCCTTCCATCTCCCCCTCCCTCTTCTACTGTAATAGTGCTCCGTTGTATAG